TTTTTTTTTTTTTTTTTTTTTTCTCCTCGTTTTTCCATCCATCCATCCATCCATCCACCCATCCACCCATCCATCCATCCATCCATTCATCCATCAATCAACCAATCAATCAATCAAACGATTGATCGAGGATAACGTCGAATCGATTGATTTGATAGGACCTATGACAAGGAAAAAAAAAACAAAAAAAAGCGGGTGGAAGGGAGGAGGAGGAGGAGGAGGAAGAACAAGAGCGCGAGGAGGAGGACGAGGAGTAAGAGGAGAAGGACGACGAGGAGTATGAGGATGGCGAAGAAAAAGGAGGAGGAAGAAGTGGTGGAGGAACAGGAGACTGCGCCGACAGAGGAGGAGGACGAAGAGGACGAAGAAGAAGACGAAGAGGAGGAGGAGGAGAAGGAAGAAGAAGAGGAGGAGGACGGGGAGGAGGAGAATGACGTTGCGCAGAAGGAAGAGGAGTAGGAAAGGGACGAGGAGAAGAGGAGGCCACGGCGATTGAAGAGGTGGAGGAAGAGGACTTAAAGATGATGAAGAAGAAGAGGAGGAGGAGGAGGAGGAGGAGGAGGAAGAAGTAGAAGAGGAGGAGGACGAGGACGAGGAGCAGAAAGAGGAGGAGGAAGAAGAGGAGGAGGAAGAAGATGAGGAGGAAAAAGGGGAGCAAGAGGAAGAGGAGGGGGAGGAGGGGGAGGAGGAGGAGGAGGAGGAGGAAAAGGAGGAGGAAGAGGAGGAGGAAGACGAGGAGGAGGAGGAAGAGGAGGAGGAGGAGGAGGAGGAGGAGGAGGAAGAAGAGGAGGAGGACGTGGAGGAAGAGAAGGAGGACAAGGACGAGGAGGAGAAAGAGGAGGAGGAGGAAGAATAGGATGAGGAGGAAGAGGCGGAGGAGGGGGGGGAGACGGAGGAGGAGGAGGAGGAGGTGGACGAAGGAAAGTTGGCTCACCTGGCATGGGCGGACGATGGCGCATGGGGTTGCTGTCGTCGACGTCGGAGTTCACCAATTGCAACACCGAACTCCGGCGACAACGCGGGGGCCAAGACGCACGGGGGAGAACGACAGGGCCCCCATTTTTGAATTTCAAAATAGCCGAATTTGGGCCGTTGATCTCGCAGATCTAACGGCCTAGATCAGGCCGTTTGTTTTTCACGTTTGGAGGCCCTACCGGCGTCCAACAATTCTTCTCGCCTGCTCCCCCGGTCGACCTGTCCCCTTTCTCCACCCCTCCACCTCCCGAGACCCTTTTGTGGACCCACCCAATTTTTTTTTTGCGATCGGACGTGGCTCCCGGCGGATGGCCGACCGGTTGTCCGATCAGACAGTCCCAGACGGTCAAGGGGGTCCCGGACGTCCGATCAGGTAATGTAAAAAAAAAGTTAAAAAAAAAAATTTTGGGGGGTGGTTTTTGGTGTGTGAAAAAAAATATATAAAAAAATAGAAAAAAAGAAATGTTGATTGATTGATAGATTGATTGATTGATGTACTGGTTGGTTGGTTGGTTCGTTGATTTATTGATTGATTGATTGATTGATTGATTGATTGATTGACTGATTGATTGATTGGTTGATTGATTGGTTGACTCACTGATTGATTGATTGATTGATTGATTGATTGATTGATTGATTGATGGGGAAGGGGTACTCGCTCCCCTCCCCCCCCCCAACACACACACAAGCATACATACAAAACACACACACACACACAAACACACCATGAAATCACACTTCCTAATAAAAAAAATATATATATATTATATATTATATACATATTATATAAATATATAAATATATATATATATATAATAAAATAATAATAATAATTAAATAAAAAAATAATAAATTAATATATAAATTAATATAAAATAAAAAGATAATAAAATAAAATTAAGAATAAAAAATATGTAAAGTACTAGGCTACCAGCCGGGCCGGTCGGGTTACCCTTTTTTCCGGGCAGCCCGGCCGTGCAAGGACCAGGGAAGGTCCCAGACAAGTGGACCCGGTGTCAGGCGGCCACAAGTAGTGCGCCGCCTGAAAACGGCAGTTTAGGGGTTTAGGCTCAGGGTTAAGTCCACGTTTTGACAGTGCTTTGGGATGACCGGGCTGCAGGAATTATGAGAACTCAGGGT